AAGGTACAGATAATTGTGTATGAGTATTTTCTCTTTTACACCTGCTTATGTGCTTTTTCCCCCCTAGGAAAATCTGTAGTTGATTAAAATTACCATGAATTTTCTTTAGATAATTGATACCAAATGAAGCTGTGCACCATGTGTGTATGCATATGTGTAAATACATAAAATTATGGATGCATATGTATGCCGGCATAGGGGTGTATATATGCCCAGCTAACGGGAAATATCTTTCTTTGTAATTAATTCACTACTCTTCAGTGTGTGCAGCATCTTAGAGGTCATTCTGCACTGCAGTGTTTTGTATTTTCCACTGCGTTGGTGCTATAAAAATGCTAATTGTCCCCATGAAGTTGTAGGCTGTTTATAAGTGCGTATGTGATTGTTTTTCAGCCCTGCGAGATATAAGGAGGTGTTATTTCAGGTTTATAATTTGAATGTGTGATGGATACAACTTTGACAGTTTATTAGTTAGAAGAGAAGAAAAAAAACCAGACAGTGGTGTGTCGTTCTTCAGTGAATTGATTGCCAGGAGCATGTTATTGACTTTGGTGATAATATCATTATATATTTTACAGTCATAAAATCAAGAAATTCAGATTATGCCCTGAGGGCTTCACACATTTAAATAAAGGATATAGCCATTTCCAGGGCTATTGGTTTAGATTAGCGGGTGCTGTGAAGAATGTGTGGTGTGTTACAAGAGCATCCAGAAAAAGCAACAGTGTGCATATTGCGGTGGTGCTTTGGTTTATTTTCTTCTTCTCTTTATGAAATACGCTTACTTACAGATCCCCTGGGAGAATGAACAGCGATTGCTCTAAATGACAGCATGTTAATACAGTGTTAGCTTGGTGCTCTGTTGGGCTAAGAGCTGAAATGAAGTGTAATCCGTGACTTGTACCAAGAACGAGGATAAGTCTTGAGACGCTCACCAAAATACACAGTACCTGGGTAGAAAACAATGCATGAGCTTCAGTCTGCAAAGTGAAGAGCATTACGTGGAGCCAGATAGCCTAATGCAGACACTGCTGGCTCTCCCTCTTGATGTCAGTCGGGGTTGAATGGCAGCTGGTGGGCTGTTGTGGGAGTAACATCCCTAAGTGACTCCAGTGACCATTGCCGGTGGCTATGGCCCGGGGAGTACCTGCCTCCGCAACACGTGGGCTGCTCTGACCTGGATCTTCCAAAATAACTTATGCTTCTCCTAGACACTCTTAACAGTCATGTCATGGGATTGAATGCAGTTGAGGTACTTGGGTTAAGTACCTGGGCTTTTGGGTTCAGGCCTGTCATAGAATCACAGAATGGTTTGGGTTGGAAGGGACCTTAAAGCCCACCCAGTTCCAACCCCCCTGCCATGGGCAGGGACACCTTCCACTAGACCAGGTTGCTCCAAGCCTCATCCAGCCTGGCCTTGGACACTCCCAGGGATGGGACATCCACAGCTTTTCTGGGCAACCTGTCCCAGTGCCTCCCCACCCTCTCTGGGAAGAAAACTGTGTCTAGCTTGCTTTGCAGAATCTGAGTTTAATTAAGGTATATTGCCTCGAATAAAAATGATTGACTCTCTTAAAACCTTGTTTATTACTTTTACAGTCTATTTAGTGAGATGGATAAAATACCTTAACGCTGATCATGATGATAAGCTTCTCTCTACTTTAGATGCAAGCTGAGAAGCACATTGCATCACCCAGCTCCAGGGATTTATTGTTCTCTTAAAAGACTGTGGAAGTCCAAGTGCAATGTCACAACTCGGCAGCAAAGGTCATGTTTTCCTACTCACACAGGAGCAGTGGCTCCAGCTGGAACACATATGGCTTAAAGGTGAATGGAGACATCTATAGAAGTAGATAAAGTAATTAGTCTTACATTTACATTTTAAGGGCCTCTGAGGATTATAAATCTATATGCTGCAAACAAAACATTTCTATGCCTGGGTCAACAGAAGCACATTTTCTAATTAAAAGTAATCAACTTTCTGAATTGAAGTGGTGTGACAGTGTTAGTAGGTTGTTAGCTTTTTCCTTTTTTCTCTGTGGCATGAGTATCCAATCAGTTTTAGTTTTGTTGATAATCTAGTTCCATTTTAGATTGTGAGGTGCTTGTGTGAAGTTGTGAACGAATGCTTGAGATACTTCTCTGCTTATGAAAAGATATTCTTGAAAGCATTTTAGACAAAACCATTAGAAAATACTCATTGGTCTTGAAGTTAAAAAGTTTTAATACGAAAACTTAATTTAGGATCATTTTTGGATGGTGTAGTGGTGCTAGTCCTCTGATGAAGAAAGCATGGTCAGCTGACCATGCTGACAGTGTTTGGCATACGGTGATTTTCCAAGCAGGTGGAAAGTTTTTCAGTGCTGATTACAAGATTAAAATTTGGAAATACAGTGCAAGCGTAGATCGGGGGAGATGTGGATGTATGCTGAGAAATGGTGACTGTTGCAGATGGCTGATTTATAATATAGGGCAGTGTCTGTGTGCATTCTCTATGCTTTTTCATGGGACATATGCTCTAGGGTTTTACGGATGAATTTGTAGTCTCTAGTAATTTGCAGTTTCCACCGCAGTTTAAATATCTACATCATTTTCAGGTTGATGATTTTTCCCAGTCATTTATCCCAAAAGCACATTATCATGCTTAATCTGGGTCATAATTGACATGGGACTTGTGCGTAAGCAAACAGCCTTTAGTTGTGTTTGAACAGGCTATTAATGTCAGGGATTTAGTTACATGCAGCAAAACAGATCAGAGGTTGGAGTAAGTATAAATGTTCAAATCACTGATGAACACAAGGCCACTGTCATGACTTGGACCCAGGAAACACTCTTGAACACTGACATGCTGATGCTATTACCGAACAGCTGCCTTCGGCCGTAGCAAAGACATAAGGTTGAAAATTGTTGTCAAGAAAACTGTTGGAATTGGATTTTATTTACTGCAAATCAACAGGGTATCTTTGCAAGTATTAAAGACATATGGAAAAGTCCACTGTTATCGTTGTACTTTGTTGTTTCTCCAGATGTTCACCCTCCTGCACCACTCTAGAGCTGGAAAATGGGGTTTCATTGGTTTTAGCTGACGCTGCCAACATCTGCCTTAGCTTTTCCCTGGAGAATGATATTACCATTACTTTGAGTTTCTGATTTATCCTTTGAGTCTCATTGGATTTTTTTTTTTTTTAAACACAATGTAAGAGCATCACGTTTCATCCTTCTGTTGAATTCTTTTTGAGGGAGCAGGAGTGAAAACGAATCAAGGGAAACACTTTGGTGGCCACTGAACTATCACAGCAACACGTAATCACCTGCCTTATTTTTTAGGGACTGTAAATGAGCCATTAAAACATTGGTCTGAGCTGATATTTTTCCTTGAAAAAAATAGTATTTGCATGCCCAAACACACTCAAAGATCTCAGTATGCTTAAAATAGCTCTGTTTCTTAACATACATTCAGTCCATCATTAGTTCACGGTGTGGACTCCGCTGTACTCTCGAGGAAGGAGAACCAAATGAGCATCTTCATTTGGAAGTACTCTTCGTTGGCCATGCTTGCTCTATAGCTTTTCCTATAATGGTATTGTAAAAATACTGATTCCATAGTTTTGAACCTAGTTTATTAATCCACTTGATGGGTGTGTAACACGAGCAAAGATGACCCAAGTGTTGAGTGCTGATAAAGTTGCTTTTAATAGAAATGCAAAACAAAATAGCGTCTCCCCTCAAAAAGGTTTCTGTACTTCTGTTTATCAAAAACTAGCTGCACAGAAGTAGGGTGTTGTTTTTTTTTATGTGGTTCAATCTGACTTTTCAAACAGGAATGGTCTTTGGAAAAAAATTGGGCCAAAATTCTCAAATACAGGTGTCTATCTCTTTGTTCATTTTTTACAATAAGATAAGGCAAAATCTGTGACTAGAGCTCTTATGTGATAATAGCATAAATTTTAGCAACATCAGTCTGTGTTTAGTCAACTTTTCTGGTGTAATCTGTTGGGTTCAAGAAACTTCGAATTCTTTAGGATCTCATGGTTTTACTTGCTTTGTGTCCTGTAAGTTGTTTGTTTGGTTACTTGTTCGATTGCAGTTATTTACAGTTCACTGCTGGTTTTTTGAGATCCTAGCAAGAAATTCTACGGACAGCTGCAAAATATATCTTTAATCAATTTAGGAAGACCGATTCCCTAACTAACATATTTCTTCCAGCTAAGACACAGAATAAACCCTTCCACAGATAGGCGGTGAAAAAGACTTCCGGACAAAACTATCCCTTTCACGAATTGATGTAGCATCATCATCGTGTGATTCAGGCTAGTCTGAGTGTTGTAATTTATGTGCATTGCCCTTATCAGTACTGTGCTATCTCATTCCCAATTGCTTTTTATTAAGAAACATCTTGTGCCGTTTTTTTAAGCTGCTCAGGGTGAGCCTGTGAGGGCCAATGTTGCTGGTTTTGTTTTTTCTGAATCTGTCTGAAGCAGAAGGAGTAGAACAAGGAGACAGTATTTTTTGTGGTGGTCTTAAAGTAGCAGTATTTTACAGGCAAATAACATGTTTTCTCATCATTCAAATGGTAATAGTGTAAATATTGCTGATACGGTTAGATAAGTTGGTTTATGAGGAAATAGTAGCATGTTTCTATGAGAGTTTTGTCTGCAAAATGAAGAACGCTCAAGTGTATTGGGATTAAAACAACCTGTACAGATCAGAAGTTTTCAGATCCATGAAGTCTGATTGAGGCTTATCTCTTATTTCTGTAAACCTAATTTGTGTGCAAATTGTTGTCTGAATGGCAACAATTCCACTGTGAATTCATTTGAGGTAGTAAGGCCAAAAGGTTTTATTGAACTAACGCGTTTCTTGTAATTTTATTGAGATGTGTGCATGTTTAGGTGTTGAGGTAAGAGTCAGATCTGATTTGCCTCCTAATTGCAAGTATTTATGTGTTTATTTTCCTTTTCACTCACGTGAATTTCCTTGTTTCCCTTATGTCTTTTCAGGTCAGGATCGCAGCGAAGCCACTTTAATTAAGAGGTTTAAAGGTGACGGTGTCCGATACAAAGCAAAACTGATTGGGATAGATGAGGTTTCTGCCGCACGAGGAGACAAGTTATGCCAAGACTCCATGATGAAGCTCAAGGTGCAGTGAAATTTTTAATGTTTAATATCATGGAGTTCTGGGGAGCGAATTTCAGCTTGAACTTCTACTGATTCTCCTTTCGTGACACTGAGTCACACTCCGGTTAATTATGTATTGAAATCAGTCAATTTTACATGAACTTCTGGCTGGTATTGCTTATCCCAGTTTAATTTTAATACATTATCTCTGAGTTCAGTAGTTATTCGTGATTGACACCACAGCAATTTGTCCACAAATTATGAACAACACATCTGCACATTGAATAATTTTATTATGCAAAAGGAGAGATAAGCCACTATGAAGAAAAATAGTATATTGAAACATTTTATATGAGAGTGCTAATCACCTACGGCCCTGCCTTTGACTGTTATCTCCTGTCAGGACAGACAGGAGGGGGAGAGTGACATTATGGGGTGTAGGTAGCCAGATACAGGAGGGAACCGGTGTCCTCACTGGGAGATTAATGCCTTGCAGTTGTAATGGCAGGATTGATGGGTTTCGAAATCAGGAGATTGGGCACGGAGAAGACAGGGCATGAGAAGACACAGAGGAGTCCCCAGAGTTTTGGGAAAGAAATAGAGAAGTAAAAAAAGCAGATTGAGAGTAGACAGCAAACTTAGAGAGCAGTCAGAGTCTGAAAGGACCAGTGGTGGAGGGTGGACGTTCTGGAGCATGTTAGACATCTCTCTCTGGCTCAACCTTTTCTTACAACCCTACGGAGAGTGTAAGAGCTCTCTAATGAAGAGTAAAAGTCTGACATAATGAAAAAAAACCTACCCCTTAATCCCAGATATTTACAGAAGAGGTGTAGTGTGATTTTTGAGACTATTTTTTTTTCTGTAAAAAGCTCATTTTGCTTATTCCAGATAAGTGTGCCCGTGAAGTAAGCTTTTGAAGTTGGCGCTTTTTTTTTTTCCTCCACTGCTTGTTGGTTTTTTTTTTCTTTTAAAAAAAGAAAACAAACCAGATTATAGCTGGGAGAAGTGTGCTAAAATGACCTTCAGCTTCCATGAAAATGAATTTCATGGAGGATTAGCTAGTGAAGGGGTTGGAAGTGGGTGCACATTTGAAATGGTTTCTGGGAGCATAAGGAGATGTGGTACCTTGATAAAAGGGAGGAAGCCAGAAGTAAGGGTGGGATTGTTCCTGAAAAGCCCTTAAGTTTTCCTAGAAAGGTGGTGAATTGTCCTCAAGCCAGTCATGCTTGTGCTTTGCTGTGGCACCTCGACGAGTGATGACACCAGCCACGTTGTTCTTTGTTTCAATAGGGAATTGTTGCTGCGGCTCGTTCAAAAGGAGAACATAAACAAAAAATCTTCTTAACAGTCTCCTTCGGGGGAATCAAAATCTTTGATGAAAAGACAGGGGTAAGTAAAATAATGGTGTGATGGAACAAAATTGAATCTTTTCATGGCTGTTTCTTCAAAAGCACTTCCTGGCTGGGCAGTAATATCTCAGCAGCGTAAGCAGACGTGAAGCTTCTGACAAGCTTGATCAAGGGTTATCATATATCAGAGTGAGATGTTAGGTGACTGAGGTGTAAAGTGTAGCATGGGGACCTGGTTTGTTGTGAAGCCTTGTCCTGGATACTTCTGCAGAACCGCTTAAACAGATGCTCCTCATGTGCGTAAGTGAGTCCAGAAAAGTGGCAAGAAGGGTTTGGGTTTCCTTCTGCCAACTAAATAACTGCTTTTTGGAAATACCAGCCCACAGTTCTGGCAGCCCATGGAACAGGCTGGTATCTGCTCATATGGGTTTTCTCAGCCAGCCTGGGCCCAGCTGCACCAGTCGTCTGGATGCTGCTTCAGACTCCTTGGCAGTGCCAAGGGACTTCTGCGAGTCTAATGACAAGGGATTAGGATTAGAGACTAGGATTGTCTTGGATTGGACCCCTCGTGTCATGGGAAGATATGGGAAGAAAACAAAGCCAGAACAGGGTGCTGCAGACAACTCCAGAAGAGTGAATCTTGTTTCCCCACTGATGCTCGAGATGGAGAGGAAGGTCACTGGGGGCTGGGGAGCTCCTGGGAGAAGCAAAGATTTAGCTGGGATTGCCCTAAAGATGTCCCAGGGGAATCCTGCACATTTCTATCAGGTCCATAATTCTATGTGAACCCAAGAGTAGTAACCACCATGCAGTATACTCCTATTCACAGCAGTCCCGGTCTCCTGTCAGGTATGCAGCAACCATAAGAACTGGAGTTTTTGTGTCGTCAACAGCAGAAAAAGTATATATTGTATAGAGTTGGAGGAAAAAGATAGCTGAAAGCTGAGGTTGCTGTCTGAGGCTGCTTCAGGAGCATCTGATCGAGGAAGCTGAAGGAAACTTCCATGCCTTACGCAGTTTTTGTCACAGCAATATCATGTTTGATTTGTAAAATTGCTCTGAAAGAAGAAACCTAAGCAAAACATTATACTACTTAGATATAAAGCAACAACACACAAACTGTTTTAATCCTAATTAAGAAGATTTTTACAGCCATTTAAGCTCTGCCTTGAATTTTAAAAAGCTCTTGATTTAATCTTTTGAAAGATTAACTATTTAACATGATGCCAGAAATAAAACCCTGCTGATGATAGATGAAATTATCTTTGCCAGTTAATTTATATTATTAGAAAATCAATGTCATTGAGCGCGCTGATACATAATACAAGCAGTTAGTAATGAAAAGCTCATTTGGAATGTGTTGTGTACAGCATGTGTAAAGTATTTGTACAAAAGCAGTGTTTAAGAGAGCATTGCTGAGGTTATAGCCTGTGCTCAGGAGATAGGAAATGTCCAAATTAGGGCTGCCAGTGCAGTCGTGCTTGGGTCCTCTAATAAACAGACATTAAGGTAGTACTTAACTATGTGTTGACACACCTTTTTCTGGCCAGAAAATACCAGCCTCATTGAGTGTGTGGAACAGAGTGTAATATGCTGAACACTGTGGTGGTATTTTGTTTTCTTCAGTGTGCAGCCCACTGCCTTGCATGCACTCTGCAAATTGCAGAGTCCACAGATACTTTCCTACAACTAAAGCCTTTTTTTGGAAAAGTGAAAAAGAAGAATGAGAGAGACTGGTCCTTTTGCACTTGTCTCTGAATGTTTCACAAACATAGGGTTTGTTTTCATAAAATAAAGAAGGAAAAGGGGATGCGTTTGGAAACAAAGGTGTGGTTTAGCCGGATTGCCTTTCCCGCAGCATCCTGCACACCCTCCTATCTGCAGCTAGCAAGGCAGGGACATGAGAACAAGTCAACTTCATTTCGTAACTTCGACATCCTATACTCTAAATCTGACATAACTGTGTCATCCTTACAGTAGCCCTGTCACTCACTCACAGAGGCTTAGACTGAAACTTTTAAATCCACCTTCCCGACGTATACCCCTGAGCTGCCAGAGTGATGGATGGGAGTATTGAGTTGTCCTTCTTGAAACAGGACTGTGACAGAGGGATGTGGGGAGCTTTCAACATCAGTTTTTACGTGTATTTTTGACAGCAGAAGAATCGTGCTTTCCATGCCAAGCTTTTGAAGCGGGGGTGCATGAGCTCCTTTGCTGGTTCTTCACAGCCACCAGCCCTTCGGCTGTTGCCCCAGCATGGTCTCTCCATGTCCTAAAGTTTCACCTCCTTGATCCACTCTTCTCATAGTCTCTCTCATCCATCCAGTCTCATCTCATCTGCTTCATCAACCTACAGCTGTGATCTCATTTCCGTTCCTGCCAGTGTGTCAGTGGTAAAATTAAGAGTTCATAAAGTTTGGAGACTGACATTCACATTCGTGCAACAGGATAAAAAAATACGCCCTTAATGGGGAACAGTCTGGAAAATCTTGCATTTGCGTTATCCTTTCACTGCCTTCATTGTCCCCAGCAATCCTTTCTCTTTAGGTGTATTGCCCTAACATTTGGATTCCCAAACAGGTATTTTGGTCACAGTGCTCATTTATTGTTTATTTGGAAAGGTCATTTACCTCTGTAGAATATCCTTTCTTCATTTTTATTATCGGCTACTGCTACCATGTCTGCAGGATGGCAGTCTGATGTGATAGAAAAGAGAAAAAATATTCGGAAAAAATGTGGGCTTCTGTCTGTTTAGTATCTTGTAGGCTACTATTGGATTTTAATTTATCACAATAAAAAATCAATTTGTAGCTCGAAACTAGCAAATTTTTTAAAATTGGCAGTGTCACAGCTGACTTCATACAGATGATTTAGGGGAATTGCTCCATAATTCATTATAGATGAAGGGCTGTATTTGGGTTACTACTGAAAATGATAAGCCAGGATTTTTCCCCTGTACCTTATAGCTCTCTTTAATATGTTCCCAGACCTAATATTCATCAAAAAATATTGATTTTAACAATGCTATTATTCCAGCCATCAGGAATTCTTCCCTTTGATTAAATTTATCCATGAAGGAGATTAGGTTGAAGGTGGAATATCGTTTGGGAAGAATTTCTCTCACCAAGAAAAATGCAAGAAGGATTCGCTGTGAGTTTGCACTGTAGATGCGATGCAATTTAGTTCATCTGTAGCACTGCCATAGAAATAATAACACTCCTCTCTTGTATTTCATAATTCTGTTCCATGGTTAATCTAAATAGGTGCCTTCATACCACTTTTCAAACCCCCTTCTGTGCAGTTAGAAGGCGATAGGAAGGGCCCTTCTTAGACGAGTTTGCCCTGCAGGCCCTCAGTTTGCCCGTACTGTTGTACAGACTCTTGTCTGCTGGAGGAGCCTCCTCATGTAGGCAGAACAGCACAAATTGTTCTCCAGAGTCCCAACTTCAGCTCTGTAATGTGAACTTCTATTTAGTTTGACCAGCAGTTCTCCTGTTGTATGCCAAAAGTTGTCGTTACACCTGGGGTTTGACCCTATTTTTTCTTAGACATGTACCGTTTTTGTCTACTGTCATATGCTGGCCATCCAACCCGCTTGCTTTCTTGGGAATATGTTTGCCAAATATATACCTTGCCTGAAGGAAATGTATTTTTTTTAAAACCTAAAAAATCTACCACAATTATTACCAGGCTCGGACTTTTTCTACCTAATGCCACTTCAGAGATTTCATGGCTGAATATTATATGAACATAATTTTTGATCATTTGTTCTGTCTTATTCCCCCTGCACCCTGGTGACATCTCAAGATGTCATCTTTTAAATGCAGTGAGGCACAAGCTGAAATGTATTCTTCATTAGTTGACTTTCAAAACCATGGTCTGTAGAAAGCAAAAATGCAAATAGTTGCATTGTGCTATTTAATACTCTCATTTTCCGAGTGGAACTTAGTGGTTAATATGTTCCTTAGAAAGCAACAAAACCCATAACTCTCAATATAGCAAGATATGTGAAATTTTTAAAGGACCATCATTGTTCATTAGCTATTTATGAGTATTATTTTGTTAATCACACACATCAGGCTATCTCCCTGTGATAGCTTAGTAATGCTTCATTAGATGTGCATGACTAATACGGTCTCCATAAAGAGGCTGTAATTGTCTCATTGTTTATTTATGTTACAATAAATCTTTGTTTACTGCAGGTTACTTTCCAAAATTTTATTTTTAAAAAATAATTCAGTTGCATAAAATACTTGGGAAACCATTTACTTCTGCATTCGTTTAATGAGGTATACTTTTAAACTCGTGCGCTTTCTAGTTGCAAAATCCTGTTGACTGTAGTGGAAAGCCCAGGCACTGTGAAAAAGATGATGAAAGCCAAAAATTACTATTTGGCTTTAAGTAAAGAATTATTTCTGCTAAAGAAAAAATTTGTGTCAGCTCATTGATATACAAATTGCCAGAATATACTGCAATAAGTATCTGTATGAGCTGTTAATATAGGTGAAATATTTATCTGGACTCTACAGTTGTCCAAAAAGCATGATAGACCTGTGTCAGTATCTTGTTTATTTGTGAGGAATACCCTAAACAGATAAATTGTAACCCAGTTTATGAATATGACAGCCATTTCACTGTTTTTTCTTATTTTGTCATGTGCAGCACCCCAAGAATGGGTTTCGTTTGTATTGTCTATCATATACTTTGGAGGGATTGTCTATCAGAGGTGTTGACCCATATCTTTATGAAAATGCAGAGCTTGGGTACAGCCAGTGGATTTGTAAAATTTCTAGGAATACTCTGTGTGTCTTACTGGGTTGCAATATTGCAGAGAAGTATTGTAGTGTGTTACTCATATTTTATTAATTTGATCTGTAGCCATTTTCCTCAAGCTGTCAGTATGAAATCCAGGAAGGAAAATTATATAAATATTTATCTTTATAGAATCTTGAATATTTTCATTCCTGTTATCCATCCCGTACTCTAATCTTTATTATCTTTGAGGAGGATTATATGACTGATGCAGAGCAGGGTTTGCCT